TCATTTCTTAAGATGGTTGATTGTAACATTTTCATGTATTTTTTACTTGTTTGAAAAAGGTTCGGCTGTTTGTTGATCCTGCTTCCCTTTCTACTTTCTTCGTAGTTTTATTGTCACTTTTTTCCCTTCTTATCTTCCTTCTTGTCTCAGCTTTGAGGTCGCTGAATCTTTGGATGTTTTTATCACTTGGGCATAGCAAAATTGTATTATGTCCTTGCTTTTGGTCTCTAGGGCCCTTTGGCATTCCTCGTCATACAAGTGTTTGTCTTTTCGCCTAGGACACTTTCTGCAGCATTGATTAATGATGTTCTGATCTGTATCCAATGCTCCTCTACATCCGACGCCTCCTGTGTGACGTTCTTATCTAGTTGTGTTTCTAGTTCTTGGGAACATGATGCGGCACTCCTCAGATAACAATCTGAGAGATATGGAAGAGTAGACTCCTTTCCGACTAGGGTTGGGCATAATAAAGTAACATGTCTTAACGGCTTGTTTGTTATGTTGGTTGTATGTATGTTCCCATTTTTTTACTATGTCTATTCCATATTTGGCCTAAGAAGGATTGTGTAAATAAACTAAACGTGTCCAAGTGAGAATAAAGACTTTTGTTTGTCAATGATACCAATCACAAACACAACATCCGCCTAAGATAAAGTTTGGAGGGTCTTGTTTCTACGTTTTGTTTACTAAAAAATATCATCAGTGGATGTTTTTCATGTACAATTTATATATAATTTTTCATCTGTCCCGTTCAAGTTAAACCTCTCAACCTTGCTTATAATGTCGATATTGTTTATAATGTCGAGCGCGTTACCGAAATAATCATTAGGGATTCGACGTATGATCGGAGAAGAAGCAATTACAAGAGGAGTAACAGGTATGAAAAGTAATCAAGTTAAAAAAATTAAATGCTGCATTTCTTCCGAATTGTCAACCTTGTCCTCTGCGGATGAGAGTTCGAATTTTTCATAAGCCTCAAATAGGCTATGGTCAGTTCAGATTATAGATTAAAATATACAAATAAACACTTCTTTCCTCAGTTGTTCATCGTTATTGCTTTATACCGTAATGTCGACGACCTGAGAAAAGTTTAAAGCGCTTGGTGTAACACATAGTTCAGTAAACACTTAAGATATCAAGATGGCTCTTCCTTTATTAACATAATTAACTTGATCAAGCAATTATCTGTGCAAAGAGTAATTTAATTTTTTAACTGTTCTCACTGAGTTCTAGACTACTGTTCATTGAAAATAATTGTATACATGTTTTATTTAATAATAATGTATTTTACATTTCAATTGGTAATTCTACATACATATTTAGAACATCCCGCATAGTTACGATGCTAAATGATCGAAATCGCAATATTTTATCGTATGCTATGTACCCAGAAAAGGCATATCAAGAATGTAAACGAATGGACTGTGTTAGGTAGATGTTTTCTTGTTTAAGACCGGGGGCGGCAATTTCGCGGAGGTGGTTGTAATGCTATGTTTGGACAAAAGGCGAGTCGAGTGGAAAACTGGAAGGTCACTTTAGAATTGGCTGCCGCGTTTTTAAACACATCGAATACTAACTGAAATGGAATTGGTACATAACGCTGAATCTTGACTTTATTAATAATTGGCTTTCTGTTACGAGTATGGTGAAATGCATCTTCAAGAATTTTTCGGGAATAAAGTATTTAAATATTTTAATACTTGTCATTACACACAGAATGATCCAAAATTCAGCTCCCGGATGAGAGAGAACGCCGAATAAAGAACCTAATAAAATATTTTTCATTAATTTTTGGTCGAATTTAACAGTTGAACTATTTCAAGCACATGTTACAATTGTTCACCACTGTATTGACGAATGAACATCTTGGTTGAACCAAGTTATATAGTGACTAACAGGACTTGCGATTGTAGTTATGGAAATTTTCGCTTGGAACAAGATTTTTAACATAATCTTTTAATGATAAGTTTATAGAGAAGAAATTGTGCTTGATATAAGGAATGTCGGAAAAATTTCGCAACTCTTTTATAAAAGCGTGGTGAACATTTTAAAGTACTCAAAAGCAAAAGAATAATGTCACCATTTTTCAATTTGATTGTTGATATTAAGCAACTATTTAGATAGGGAAAAGTAAGAATTATTACAGTTAGTTTACAGGAAGAAGCAGCATTGAACCTGAAATATTCAATAAATGGCAAAGATACTATATCAAAATTAGCATTTCTTGTATTAGAAACAGATAGTGCGTATTCACATTTTCGTCTTTTAATTTTTTTATTCAACTTTCAGTTTAAGGACGATATTTTTTATTATTCTTTGTTCGAACTATACGTATATATATAGGGTGTTTTTTTTCGTGCGAGAGAGTCTATTATTTTCGTTGGTGTTGAACTTTCGAAAAAAGTTTCATATAAAAGTTGTTGACGCACAAAGTGCGCACATTTTAAAAATACCTTATATGATACAGAGTGTCTCAGAAAAGCGAACGGGCGAAAAAAAGGTTCTTGTATTTTGTTTGACGAAAAAGAAGTTAACAGTGCCAAATAAACGTCCATTTCCTTCAACTGAACTCTCAATGAAAATACTTAATCGAGAAATTTATTGGCTGTTGAGAGATGGAGAAAATACGAAAATGTGGTAAAATACTAATGTCGTAAAATATTTAAATTTAAGGAGAACTGAAATTCCCAGCGAATACATCATCTGTAGGTGATATAGATACAGGTGCCCAGACTGTTCCTTAAATAGCCTCTTATGATATTAATAGATGTATTTATATTATAAATTAAAGTTAATGGGCTGTAATTTTTTCAGATTTGTACCCGTACTATCTAGAAACGGTTGAGCTAATTTTTCACAATTCAAGGTATTAGGAAAAAACATCAATAAACTAAAAATAGATGGCACAAGTTAAAAATGTACACATTTACAAAGAAAAGATGGAAGCAAAATGAACAAGTGAACATATTGTATCCACTAAAGCTAATTACTTACATTCTTGAAAAACTTGCCGCTCCCTTATACACATAGAGACGCTTAACGTACATTGCAATGAACAGTCTAATCATCTCCTCGTTGAATATTCAAGTAATTTCGATCTTGCATGTAATATTTTATGCATCCAGAAAAGAGTAAGTTACCGGATTGTTGCTGTGGAAATTCTGTTCTGTATCACGACAAGCTGAAAAATTTGAAGTTGAAGAATGATTATACATACATATCTCATTCAACAAGATAGAATGGTTGAATTTAATAAAATATCCTATAACTATAAAAATTTTAGAAAATTTAAAAAAATGTCCAAAAGTTAAAGACATGTGACAAAATTCCATGATAAGCTTTTTAGATTTTTTTAGCTTTCCTGTCTGAAGATTAAGAGTAGTTATATATCATGTTTTAATACTCAATTATTCAATACTATCATACGTAATATATTTTAAATACGTAAATTTTAAAAATAAATATCTTATTAAAGATCATTACAAAAGTTCAGTAACAATTAGTTCAATAAACTTTCAAATACGCGACTAATTATACCGTGTAAAAATAATTCTGTCAAAAAGTTTTTTGGCTTTCTCTGTAAAGTTCTATTTTGCTTGTCGTTAACTCATCAAATTGCATCTGGGTTATCGATAAATAAAAAGGAAATAAATTATAAAACAGTAATGAAGAGTTGAGTTTAAAATTGAGTTTGTACCTATAATCGAAGAACATTTTTTGGGTTTCAAAAAAAATAATTTGAATTTTGATCTCAGAAGTCAAATCATTTAAGTCCGGTCTGATGACTTCGAATATCGAGTTTCTTACTTTCAAGTCGAAACTTTAAGTTTGAATTAGCAATTTTCAATGCTAATAGTTTTGTAAATGGATTTTGGAGATAATTAAAAATGTTTTTATTAATTACTTAAATTTTTTCAAAAATTACTTTTTGGAAAATTTCACATTTTACAGTCACATTACGTTTAAGCAATTTTCTGATTTATTGGGATAGTTTAGTTCAAACTTCGTGGCGAATAATTAGATATGTATGGCAAATTTGATTAAGTAATGGCTTACACCTGTGTCTCCAGTATCTCATTACATTATTACTAATTTAATTCTAACGATCTATTAGGCATCTATTTTATCCTACATGATTTTTTATGTTTTTGTTCCAGCTAATTGTAGGCGTAGTTTACAATATATTAAATTCTTGAGATATTATCGACTGAGATACACTTATTTAATCCTCAGAACTGGTATTTATCACTCTCGGTTTTGTGGGATAAAGTTGATCCACTAAAACCTTTTTCGGATTTCTGATACGATAGTAATCATTTAAGTAGATATCTCTATAAACAGTATGAATGTACTTATTTTGTCTTTATTGTATTTATTAGATATCATAATTCGTGAGTTTAAAATCTTAGTAGGGTGCGAATTTTTTTAAACTCCCGGAAAGTCACGCAATATATAAATACATTGTAATTATCGGATCATAATCAATCGACTTTACAATAAAATTAAAATTTGTCTTAGCAGTTGCAGGAAATTTATTCCGACTTTTTTTACAGACGGGATTTTATTTACGGAGTTTTAAAAAGGAATCCATAGTCACAGACGTAACTGTCCTGAATAAGGTGCTGAATAAGCACTGCAAAGGAAATCCTTAAAGTTGCACCAAAAAGA